CGACGACGACGTTTCTTAATAAAAATAAAACGTGAAAATTCACAGATCCCGACTTTACGTCGCGATATCTCCGCTCGTAGGGCACGTAGTCAAAAAATGAAAGCACTTTTATTATACAATTTTAGTATTTCCTGTCGATTGAGCGTATGTAGAACTTGATCGGTCCAGCCGTTACTGAGATCTGATCATCTCGACCCCGAAAAATTCTCAGTTTCGCGTAAAGGAGGCACGGCAGTGTCGCGCGCTTGGCTTAGCGCCGAGACACTACCGTGTCTCCAGATATAGGGGAGAGAGGATTTTCGGTTATAGACTATGTGATAGGAAACGATGAGGTAAATGAGGAAATTAAGAAGATAGAGGAAGGTAATAGGACAGAATCAGACCACCTGCCATTAGAGATAGAACTGATGGGATCGCAAGGATGGGAGGAGAAGGATGGGAAGGAGAGGGAAGTGGAAATAGAGAGAAGCGATTGGACAAAAGAGGGAATAAAGAGCTACCATGAGAAATGCGAAGGTTGGAGAAGCACACGGAAGGATTCAGAAGGCATGTGGATGGAGATAAAAGATAAGGTAAAAAATTCGATAAAGAGATATAAAAAGAAAATAATACCAGGGAAATTAGGAAAAAGAGAATGGTATAATAAAGAGTGGAAAGGTAAGAAAAGAGAGTTAAGAAGAGAGCTGAGAGATATGAAAAAAGGAAGGATTAGCAAGGAAGATTATGTAGAGAAGAGGAGGAGACACAAAGTATGGTGCGAGGAACAGAAGAGAAAACACGAAGAGGCAGAAGAGGAAAAGATAAGGAATATAAGAACGGAAGCAGAGGCATGGAAGTACATCAATAAGTATAGAAAGAGGAAATCAGAAGGACTAAACAAGGATATACAAATAAACAGGGGAAAGATGTTTGCATTCTTCGCGGACCTGAAAGCGGCATTCGACAACGTGGATAGGAAGCTGTTAAATAGAAGGATGGAAAAGATGCAGATAGAGAACAATCTGAGAAACCGTGTTATGAAGACATATAAAGAAACAAGAAATATAGTGAAGATAGGGGACAAGATGTCAGAAGAGTTTTGGACCGAAAAAGGCTTGAGACAAGGATGTCCTCTAAGCCCGACTTTGTTTAATATTTACATGTCGGACTTGGAAGAAGAGATGGAAAAAGGACAGTCAGGAGGAGTGGTACTAGGAAAAGAGAAATGTTGGACAATAATGTATGCGGACGATGTGGTGCTACTGGCAAATAATGAGGCGGATATGAAAGAAATGGTGAAGAAATTTACTAAATTTTTACAAAGAAAAGGGCTGAACCTAAGCACGGAGAAATAAAAAATGTTAGTATTCGAGAGAGGAAGACGTAGAACCAAAGCGAGAATATGGAAATGGAAAGAAGAGACAATAGAAGAAGTGAAAGAAATCAAGTATCTGGGATACACTCTTCAGAAAAATGGAGGATCAGAGAAACATATAAAAGAAAGAATAAAGAGGGCAACGGTGGCAATGAAGAGAACCTGGAGCATTGGAGAAAGAATTTTCAAGGACAACTTTGAAAGAAGGATAAAGATGTTCAACTCGCTAGTGGAAAGTATAGCACTATACGGAGCGGAGGTATGGGGTTGGTAGAATGACAACAGACTAGATGGGATAAAGAGAAAGTATACGAAATGGGTTCTGAAGCTTGATTGGAGAACACCAAATTATATATTGGAAGAGGAAACGAAAATAAGCAATATTAAAACTAAAGCGACTAGAAGAGCAGCAAAGTATGAAGAAAAAATAAAGAATTCGAAGAAAAAACTGATACAAGAATGTGTAAAGGAGTTGGGAAAGGAACGAAGGGAAGAAAAAGTGAATAAATGGAAAGAAAAGAGAAGGGAATTACTCGAGAGAGCGGGACTGAATAAGGTGCGAGGAGGAGGGGAAGAAGAGACAGGAGAACAAAAAATAGTAGAGGAGCTAATGAAGAGAATAGAGAAGAGGGAGGAAGAGGAAAGACTAGTAAAAATTAATGAGTCAAGGTATAATAGTTATTACAAGAATATAAAGACAGAAGGACTACCAAGATATTTGAGAATAGAGAATAGAGAAAGAGGGAGGAAGAGGAAAGACTAGTAAAAATTAATGAGTCAAGGTATAATAGTTATTACAAGAATATAAAGACAGAAGGACTACCAAAATATTTGAAAGGAAAGAGGAGGATGAAAGATAGAAGTATAATAGCCAGATTCAGATGCGGAAACGAGTTAAGAGGGGGTCAATATTGGAGAGAGGACGAAGAAAGAAGATGCAGAATTTGTTATAGGTCAGAGGAGAATGTAATACACATGCTTAAAGAATGTACGGAGACAAAAAGTGAGAAGCAGATGGTAGAATTTTTGGGGGAAGAAGGTAAAGGAATAGAGACAATGAAGAAAATTGATAAGGCGAGAAAGGAAGCAGAAAAGAGAGAGAGACGAAATGGGAGTGAGGAAGCAGATATGTTAGACACAGGAAGCAGGAGCTGTTCCGGGATAGATTCTTAGATTTGAGTTGATATTGGATATTAATTTGATTGTGTTTATGTTATGTTGATGTTGTTAATATAGATTTAGCGTAGAACAATACAAGAGTTGGTTATATGAAATGTTTACAAGTTGAAAGTTTATATATGCAAATTACAAATGTAAAATATGAAACACATGTAAATTGGAAGCCATCCAAAGCCGAAAGGCAAGGATTAAATAAAAATAAATAATAATAATAATAATAACAAATGTTGGCAGGCTAAGCTGTTAGAAACTAAGCTTAATGAGGAAGCAGCAGCTTGATATCTGCTGTAATGTCATGATCAAGTTTGCTGGCATACTGCTGGCATACTGCTAGCATTTTGCTATCTGGGTATATAGAATACGAGCCTCACCTCCGATTTTGATCTAATTAGGCTTATTCGACGCGTTTTCACTCAAAATGAAAGAATCCGGAAGAAATTTGTGGCGCTCGACCTCGTGAACCGAGATATTAAGCGTTAAAGTTCGAGATTTTAGAGGTTAAGATATCTGTCACTGCTTTAAAAATAACAAATTACTGCTTTAGAAACACAAAAACACTGCTTTAAAAATACAAATTCAATGCTTTAAAAAACAATTCAATTTAAAACAATAGTGGAGCCCCCCCGCGGGGGGGGGCAGAACCCACTGCACCCACGCATACACTTTTAACGTAGAAGTAATATGCGTGGATAAAGTATGTTCCGCTCCCTCAGTCCCTCTATGATTGTACTGTTGCTGTAAAAACAACAATTCGCTGCTTTAAAAACAATAGTGGAACCTCCCCGCAGGAGGGGCGGAACTTATTGCATCCACGCATGTTATATCTACGTTGTAAAAGTGTTTGCGTGGATACAGTGGATTCCGACCCCCCTGCGGGGGGACTCTACTATTGTTTTAAAGCAGTGAATTGTTTTTCAAAGCAGTGAATTTGTATTTTTAAAGCAGTGTTTTTGTGTTTATAAAGAAGTAATTTGTTATTTTTAAAGCAGTGACAGATATCTTAACCTCTAAAATCTCGAACTTTAACGCTTAATATCTCGGTTCACGAGGTCGAGCGTCACAAATTTCTTCCGGATTCTTTCATTTTGAGTGAAAACGCGTCGAATAAGCCTAATTAGATCAAAATCGGAGGTGAGGCCCGTATTCTATATAATTACCAAAACTTGTATTTTTATAATATTTATGCATAAGTATGTCGTTTATATGTCAATTTGTGAAAAAATTCTTAAACATAATTCTGTAGATGATCTTGAACTTACTTCACACAAAAATGATCTATCGGTAGGTGTCCAATCCTTTCTGCCAACCTGTGCCGTCCATTGGGCACGTCGAACTGGATCTCGGGGGAAAATTTTCATAATAAATCCTTTTTCGTCAGAATTTGTACATCCAGGAGCTGTACAACCTGTCATGTTGCTGAAATATTCTATTAGGCTGCGATTTCACTATCAATCTAACGCTAGCGTTTGGTCAATCACGTGAACTTTTTCTTGACGCTAGCGTCAAAAAGAAAAGCTCGATTATTTCAGCTTCAAATGTCAAGCAGCGTCAACAAAAAGAATGTTTGACAGTGAAATAATATAATATTACTTATTTATTATTTACACATTTATTTATAAATACACATTATTTTTTATTTAATAGGAATTAGAAATAGTAAAAACATGTGGATTGTGCGAAATGGTCATTCCTAGAAACGATGGTCATTCATAATCATTCCCATAAACGATATAGCCTCTCATCCTTGTCTAGAAGGCTATTCAAAATATTATACAGATAATTCTACATTATATTTTTTTCCGATGACGGATACGTATGTATAACCATATAACTTTAGGACTGCGCACAATCAAAGAAATAGAGAACAGAGAACACAGAATAAAAATTTCAATCCCTATATACACATTAGGACATACGATATATACGGACAGGGCTGGGTTGGACACATTTCAAATACCATACTTGTATTACATTCTTTTTGCCATTCATAATATCGTTGTTTGAATGACATTTTTTTAACGGAGTTAAAATAGTTAAAACAGAATAACCAGATAAAAGTGGCTAGTCGTTCCAAGACACCCCTGTTTGACGCTGGACACTAGCGTCGATCCATTTTCATTGACACTATGACGCCATGACGTTTTGACGCTGAAATCCAGCGTCATAGCGTCAAGTGAAAACGCACCCTTAGTTATTTTAATTTATAATATGTATATGTCAGAACACGTGTTTATTTCTGGTCAGCCGTTATATTATTCAGTTTAAAGATATCTTATAATAGTGTAAAATTAAAAATACTTGCCTAATAATATCAATATTGTTTTGATAAATGTTAACAAGACGCAAAATATATGACGCAAAATCGTTAAAGCTGACAACTACTTAGGTTAAGAAATAAGTCACAGCGGTCACAGCCATGAAATACTGCGATGTATCACGTGATATTACTACGTCATTAGAGAAAAAATGGCGGACCAATCGCGATGCTTCAAATCATGATATAGGTAAACATACGTGATGGCCAGACTCTTATTACAGGGTCTCTACTGGTCGCAAGCCTTCCATTCTTCGGGGCTACGCAGAATAAAAGGAACAGGGAACAGAGAACAGAGAATGAGAATTTCAACCTATCGGAAATCATGTACTATGGAATACACACTGTTTATTCCACAGTATATGATTTCTGATAGGTTGAAATTCTTATTCTCTGTTCTCTATTCCTTTTATTCTGCGTAGCCCCTTCTTCTCCCTATTCTTTGGCACAAACTAGGACCACTTTTGCTACACGCGTGTGAGTTCGGTCTTCTATTCTCTTACATGGTGCCAGCAAAGAATAGGGAGAAGAAGAATGGAAGGCTTGCGACCAGTAGGGACCCTCAAGTAAGGGATCAGACAACAGCGTGAAAGATGCGGATTGGCTGCCGCCATTAGTGGGATACTTCCGTTGGTTAGGTTAGTATGCTTTCCTTTTAAAGGACACACTCGACACAAAAATCGTTCTATCTTTATCATTCGTTGAATGTTAAGAAGGATAGAACGACGTTTGTGTCGAATGTGTCATCTAAAAGGAAAGCATACTTAAGTAATTGCTGATTTAGTTGCTCAGTATTGTTTGTTTTAAGATGTAGATATTATACGCATATATGTAATACTACTATATGGCTAGATGAGAGAGAAGTCCATGTCCCAGAACCACGGTGCAGGAATATACTTCTCTCTCTTTCTCAGTGTACTTTGAACGTTGTGCGCATGCGTCGGATTCATCCCCTCCATCAATGATAAATAGAAGGATAAATATACATATATGTGTAAGGAAGAAGGAAAAAGTGATTGATTCCGCTTCAGGATACAACCTTGTTACAGTTAACAGAGTCAGTTTTGTCGGAATAAATAAATTAATCCTGTTGTACCAGTGGCGAGGTACAGTCGAAGTCCCGGAGGTAGACGGTGATAACACTCAGCACACTTTATATTTTAACACTTTTTATTAATAACAATGATTTACAATTATGTGACTCGAAATCACTGGCGTAGCCCGTAGCTTGGCTATCGGTTTCGCTGTTATCTTATTAGTTGGTTAGCGGGTTGATATAATGACGTGACACTATGTTAACGTACTCGCGCACTGATACTCGACTTCTGCCTCTGGCTTCAGTCGGCTGGTATTTATTTACATGCTTCTGCTGAGCTAGTCAGCTGATTTGGAATGCGGTCGGTGACTGACCGATCGCGTGTGGCAATTCCTTTTTGAAGTTGCTATGCTTAATTCTGCTTAAACTTACTAAAAGATATTTGGAAATTGTTCTACTTAAATGGAATTTCTACTTATTATTGCTTAAACAGCTAAGTTCGGAAATCATTCCGCTTTGTTAATGCTTAAACTGCTAGATTGCGTTTTTTGGTAATTGGAATCGCGTTGCAATCGCGATGTCGTACGCAATCGCTTTAATATATGTAAATGTTTTATTTTATATTTTAATATTTTATTTTAATATTTGTTGTAGATACAACATCCCTTCCCCGTTGAAAAAGAAAAACGCAGTAAATACAAGTTTTTCGCTTCTTATCTACTATGTTGTTATTCTTGAGCAATTTGCTTCGCAATATAGTGAGGGCAGAGGGCCCTGTTGGCATTTTCTTAAAATCTTTTTTATTAAAAAATACATTGCTATAATTACTATTGTAAGAATAATAAATCCGCTTGTCGCCATCGGGTATATAAATTCTTTTTGTTTGTAGAATTCTTGGTTTTGTAAGTCGTTATATATTTTATTTAATTTCATTCCTAAGTACTTTAATTCGTTAGGATCTCTAACTAGTTGTTTTAGTTTAATTTGATCAGTTTTGTTGTCTAAGACTTGAGCATTTCTTAGTAATGTGATGTTTACATTAGGTAAATATGATTCTATTATTTTTGTTCGTTCTAGTAGTCGAGATCTGATAACAACATCTGACGTTATTAGTTTATAGTTATTTTGTAATGTTATTTTACCCGTGTTTTCTAAAATTTCTTTCGACTCTGGATAGTTTTTACATTTTATTGTAGCTACCTTTTTTGTGGGTGCTGAATATAACCAAGAGTTCTCCAGTTTTTTCCATAATACGCTATGCGCTGTTACAAATTTATGATTACAATGTTTGTATTGGTTTTCGGTTTTTAAGTACAATTGAATTTCGCATATCGTATCGGAAGTTATTCTATTAATAGCATGATTTCGCTCGCATAGGTAATTTAATCCTATCTTACTATATTCTTGAAGTTCGTACTCTGTGATAGTAATGTATGGGTGCGTTCCGAGTCACGCATGAAGCGCGTAGACTGCATAGAAAGTCGTTCCGAGTTAACTATTGCGCGCTTCGAAAGCGCTTCGAGAGTACTTGAATTCCCCAGATTGTACTAACCGTACTGAATTCTTAGCACTCCACTCAGCGCATTGACTGCTTCTCTTTCGACCTGAGGCAGTTGATGCGTCTGATGCGTTCATGCGGTCTATGCGCATGATTTGTAATTCGGAACGAGCAACGAGTACCGGACAATACAACAGTGAACGGACGAATATTTGCGATTTGCGATGGAACAGCGATTACAGCAATTGCATGATTTCCCGGTCTTATTAGAGGATAAAAATGAAGTATTAACTTTATTTTTAAATGAAGAGGATATGGCGAAAGTACGCCAAGATAAAATTAATGGCATTATTCAACAAAAATTAAAAGGGCGAAGTAAGAGTCAGAAGTAAATTACATTTAAAATAATATTAAAATGTTAACATATTTACAATAGAAATATTACAAAAAATTGCTTAAAATTAAAAACATGCTGCGCGTAACAATTGTTATTATTTTAAATGTAATTTACTTCTGACTCTTACTTCGCCCTTTTAATTTATGTTGAATATTGTTATATTAAGAGTCCTTGAATATTTTCATCAAAATTAATGGCATTATTTTATCTTGATTTATTTAATGTATAGATAGACGTTATATTAATTAGGAATTACGCGATCGACGTAATCTATAATTTTTTCAACTCCAATTTGTTTTCCACGTAATTTATCTACCATTAATAGAAAAAATAACTTCTGCATATCACTTAAAGATATGTGTTCGATAGCGTGAAAGATAATGTAAAGTTCGTAAAAATAAGATGAATGAAATTAAAGATAACTTTCTTTATTTAACAATAACAACTTTATATTATAGATATAACTTACATGTATGTATTAAGAATATTAAGATTAATCAATTTAATTTTAAGCAAAATAACAATAATAGATTTGACTAAAGGAAAACGAATTTAACAAATAGAATCGCGATCTCATCGTAAGTAGTTTACCTGAGAAATCTTAAATAGAATTGTCACTTATCGGAAAAAGAGTAAATTCCCAGATCTTTCGATTCGTAAAAAGGAAGACGATCATCGGCTGTGATGTGATATGCTTAATAAATTCAGCTTTGCAACCATACTTGAATTCTTCGTCCTTCTTTAAAATTCTTTCCATAGGTTTGGTAACATCGGGAGTTATTCACGTCCTGTCCGAAATACTTAAAGGAGAATTAAGTTATCTAACGCAAAGAAATTAGGCTAATAGCCTCACTCGGGCTTCGGAATGATTTAATACGTAAGCTGTTAGCTTCACGTGGATTCAAACCACAAAAAATAGGCTAAAAGCCTCAATCGAGCTATTAGCTCCTTTTTCACCTCTCTACCAGTCGTATTCTTACTTAAAGGAATTATTTTGCTACGGATTTAATGTTTCACGAACAGGCCTGTTTTTCTACGATCCGAGAAAATTAATAACAACCGACACATAGCAACCAAGACAATTGTTTTTTTTTTTGTAACCAAGCGCTCTCATTGCAGCGCTGCATACGGTCGTTTTTTCTATTAGCCGGCCAACTCTTGGTCAACAGTAGCAATGTTACCAACGAGTGGCAGCTTCCTTTTTAAACATATCGCCCGCCTTCGAGAACTATAGTTATTCGAACAAATTAAAGTGTTTCTTGATTGACGGGTAAGGGACATATTTTGGCTATAGGTCTTTTGAGTACTGAAACCTGGGTCTTGACGGTGACCACTCTTATATAACCATCTTTACCAGGATGGGTTTCGATGATGCGTCCTAATGGCCATTTTGAAGGTGGGTAACGCTCATCAATAATAAGAACCAGCATCCCTACGGATAGCGAAGGAGCAGGCTTGTTCCACTTATAGATGGCATAATATCTCTGAAGACACTCGGTAGACCATTTAGTCCAAAAGGATTGAAGCATTTGTGTTATCAATTGCCAACGTGATAAATGAGTAACTTTAGCAAGTTCGAGAGAAGGTTCTGGAATTGTGACTGGTGCACAACCCATTAGGAAATGTCCTGGAGTGAGCGTTTGAAGATCATCCGGATCTTCTGTTAGTGGACATAAAGGGCGAGAATTTAGGACTGCCTCTATTTGGGTCAACAATGTGTTCATTTCTTCGTAGGTAAGAAGGGTATTCCCAACAATACGAACAAGATGGTATTTTAGCGATTTGATCCCGGCTTCCCACTTTCCTCCAAAATGTGGGGCTGAAGGGGGGTTAAACTTCCATTGAGTACCATTATTAGCAAGAAGTCTTGCCAGTTTGGTGGACTCTTGAGTGACTTGATTAAAGAGACGTTGCAATTCAGAATTAGCTCCTGTGAGCGTGGTGCCACAATCACTCGAAAGAGTAGTACAAATTCCTCGTCTAGCCGAGAATCTCTTATAGGCAGCGATGAATGCGTCTGCTGAATAATCGGTCACGAGTTCTAAATGTACGGCTGACGTGGAAAAACATACGAAGAGAGCTACATATGCTTTATAAGAACGGGCATTTTTTCCTTTCCAGGTTTTTATTATAAAAGGTCCAGCATAATCAATGCCTGAATGTGTAAAAGGACGAGAGGGAGTAACTCGTTCGGTAGGAAGCTGTCCCATCAACTGTTGAGCTCTCTTTTGTCGAAATCGTGTACATTTCATACATTTTAAAATCCATGAACGAACTGGGGCTCTACCTCCTATCAACCAGTATTCTTTGCGAATATAGGATAGCGTGACTTGAGTGCCACCATGCAGTGTTTGATTGTGAGCATGAGAGATAATGAGGGGGGTTAATGCTGACTCCTTTGGCAAAATCAGAGGGTGTTTTTCGGTTTCAAAAAGATGCGATTGTTGGAGACGACCTCCGACTCTCAATAAGCCGGACGCATCCAAAAAGGGCGTAAGACGTACGATATGACTTGATCGGGAGATCGGTTGTCCATTAGAGAGAGATTGAATTTCGTTTGAAAAGAACATTCGTTGCGTAGTCTTAACCCAAAAGTTCCTTGCTGTTTCTAACTCCTGAGTGGTAAGAGTAGGCATGAATGCCGACGGTGGAACCCTACGAAATCTGGATATGGCTCGTTGGCAGGTGGCGGTGATACGATACAATTTAGTTAAATTAGAGTATCTCGACAGAAGATCCCATTCCGATTTCGGTTTAATGACAACAGCATGTACCTTGATAGTGTGTTCTTCTAAATCCTTTTCCTGAGAATGGGGGGCAGGACGTTGCGGCCACATTGTAGTTGACTGTGACAGCCAAGTCGGACCGTTCCACCAACAAGTATCATTTAATAGTTGAGAGGGGATGAGCCCTCTGGTAGCTGCATCTGCAGGGTTTTCGTGACCAGGAACAAATTTCCATTCAGCTTGTGGTAAACTCTCTTGGATAAAACTAACGCGATTATAAACAAACTCCTTCCACCTGGAGGGATGATTATTTAACCATGTATAAGTGATCAATGAGTCGGTCCACATTACGATCGGTTGATTCTTTAAATCCAGTACAGTGAGAAGATGGAAAACTAGTTTGGTCAGCAAAACTGCTCCACACAGTTCAAGTCTTGGAATCGTAAGGCGTTTCAAAGGTGCAACTTTTGTTTTAGAGGCTACGAAATTTGCACTGATACTCCCTTCAGGTGTGGTAATTCGAACATAAACAACCGCAGCCATTGCTTTTTTTGAGGCGTCAGAGAATCCATGTACTTCGATGCGATTCTCGCCTGAAAAGCCTATCCACCGAGGGATCGTAATCTGGGGGGTATCTTGAAGATTTTTTATAAAATTATGCCATCTACTTGTGAAATGACAAGGTAATGGATCGTCCCAACCTAGTTTTATTGCCCACAACTCTTGGATAAGGATTTTCGCGATGATAATAATCGGTGATAAGAAACCAAGGGGGTCAAAGAACTTAGCAAGAGTTGAGAGTGCCTTTCTTTTAGTAATCTCCCCCTCATTTTGACAAATAAACGTAAATTGAAATACGTCGTCTATTGGTTGCCACTGAAGTCCGAGAGCTTGAACAATAGGATTATTGTCTCTGTCAATAGATACTGACGGAATCTGATCCTCTTTAGGAATTGAGCTGAGTATTTCTGGATGGTTAGTTGACCATTTTCGCAACTTAAAACCGCCCGCCATACAGAGTTCTATTAGTTCGTTAACGACATCCTTGGTCGTCTCTAAGTTGTCTGCTCCTCCGAAGAGGTCATCTACATATCTTCCCTTCTGTAAGCAAGGTGAAGCTAATGGGAAACGTGAACCTTCATCCTTTATTAATTGCTGAATAGTGCGTAAAGCTAAGAAAGGAGCACAAGCTAACCCATATGTAACTGTTGTCAAATGTTGTTTTGGTTGCTATGTGTCGGTTGTTATTAATTTTCTCGGATCGTAGAAAAACAGGCCTGTTCGTGAAACATTAAATCCGTAGCAAAATAATTCCTTTAAGTAAGAATACGACTGGTAGAGAGGTGAAAAAGGAGCTAATAGCTCGATTGAGGCTTTTAGCCTATTTTTTGTGGTTTGAATCCACGTGAAGCTAACAGCTTACGTATTAAATCATTCCGAAGCCCGAGTGAGGCTATTAGCCTAATTTCTTTGCGTTAGATAACTTAATTCTCCTTTAAGTATTTCGGACAGGACGTGAATAACTCCCGATGTTACCAAACCTATGGAAAGAATTTTAAAGAAGGACGAAGAATTCAAGTATGGTTGCAAAGCTGAATTTATTAAGCATATCACATCATGTCGTTTTTTCTATTAGCCGGCCAACTCTTGGTCAACAGTAGCAATGTTACCAACGAGTGGCAGCTTCCTTTTTAAACAATATGCCTTCGACTTTATTTTTACTATCGCTCGAGTCGGAACTATCATCGGAACTTTCATCACTTTTCTTTAAAAGTATTAAAAAAGAAATTACAATTATTGGAAATTGTTTATTGACGTCTTGTAAAGCGTCCATCTTGAACTCGCATAGAATGCATAGGAAATCGTTCCGAGTAACTAAAGCGCTTCATGCGCATTGACTAAACGGAACGATTTCAAAGCTTACGCACCAGTAATGCAGTATACGCGCTTCATGCGTAACTCGGAACGCACCCTATATGTGTCGTTCGGTGTCAACGGCTATGTATGGTTCATTTATTTCTACTAGTGACCCTCTAATAAGAGTCTGGCCACCTTCTCCCCGGTTTGTGATTGGTCCGAC